TTTTTCCGCATCTAAAAAGATAAAAGCAGCAGGAGTTTGATTATTCTTATCCAAATATTCAATTAAATTAATAATTTGTCTTACATTATATTTCATATATCTTCCAGTTATAAATCCTGATTGATCACTATGAATCAATTGATTCAACACTTGCATTAATCTATTTGCCATTACTTTTGAAAAAAATCTTATAATCTGTGTTCAATAAAGATATAGGTCTATAATTCTTAGGTTGAGTCAAATCCTGACCCTCCTTAGGTATTAAAGATATAAAAGCAGTTCTCCAGGAAGGAGGTACCGCTTCACCCAACAAAATACTATTAAACAATTCCCTTAATGGTTCTATCATTTCTTCCGATAACATCTTATAGTAAATTGCTGTAAATCCATCTGTACCTGGTGCCTTACCAGGTTTTCATTGCTTAATTTCCCCCTTTATCTCCTCCAACGTAATTGGGCAGTTCATTTTTTCCCTTTGATTATCTGACAATCTAGGAAAGTGTGTCTCCTGTAAGTAATTATCTATTTGTTCATCTTGTATTTTTTCAGAAGCATATAACTTAGAATAAAAATCCAAAAAACTCTTTTTAATCAAGTTTTGTTGAAATGTCATTTTACCATTATAATCTATTTTCTCTATAATTCTTAATTTCTGCTTCTTTCGTAATTGATAGGCCAACCACCTTCCTGGTTTATTTGCATTAGAAAATGTGTTATATTTCATATACCTTAAACTAGTTGCCGTCTGATCTGCTATTAACATGTTAAATTGTTCCCTAAGCACAGTAATGGATACTTTTAAATTATTATCCAGTGGATTCAAAATAAAGGCCTGTTCTTTCAATTTAATCTCTTCTCCAACTCTTTACGTTTTTGCACTTGTTTACGCCTATGAACGTTATTCATATAAATCAAATTTCCTCTCATATATGCTTTGCTAGCATCCCAGACCATTGAAATTGAAGGACCTTTGTGCATATTCAACAAAAAAAAATTCTTTCAATTGATCTCTACATTTCTGTAAATTTACATCATATCTAAATCAATTTTCATTCAATCTCCAAGTCCTTCTGCTCCCTTCTTCAGCACGTAACTCCATCCATACCGGACTATGATCTGACAATGTCCTGGGGAAAATCTTAATATTCTTCACCCTAGAACAAAAATCATTAGTAATTTAAAAAAAGTCAATTCTAGAATAAGATTGGTGCCTGTCCGAAAAAAAAGTAAAATCCCTTTCTTCCATATTTCTCTCACGCCATACGTCTTTTAATTCCAGTTCATCCTTCAAGTCAAAAAAAGTTTTAGGCAATGTTGAGTTAAGCGTTTTGGAAGAACCTTTCTAGTCTTTTCTTGAATCTAAAACACCATTCCAATCCCCCATCATAATAACTGATTTATAATCCAGTTGGTTTATTTTCTGATATAACAATTTATAAAACTGTTTCTGCTGTTGATTTGGGGCGTATAATCCAATAATAAGACATTTCTTCCCATTCAATAATATTTCAACAAGAACATACCGTATCTTCCTTCTGAATCAGCATCAATCAATTTGGGTTGAAAGTCTTTCCTGATATAAACAACTACTCCACCTCTTTTCTGCGGCGCAGGTGCCATAAAATGTATACCCAGCCGTGAGTTAGACAAATATTTTTGATCTTTAGCTGTAATATGAGTTTCTTGTAAACAAACAACATCATTTTTATGTTGTTTCAAATAATNGTCCTTTAATGCATCTTGAATATCTTTCAGTGTAAGTGCTGGGATTGGGGGGGAGGGCGGAGGAGTCTTAGATTTTGGCTGCTGTGGTGTTTGAACAGCTGGAGAGGAGATTGTACTTTTCTGAGGAACAAAAGTTCCCACACGCTTAGAAGCCATTTTACTTCTCTCCTTCTTCTCTTATACTTTCACTTATAAACATCAAATCTTGTAAAGGTCATATAAAAGTCTTATAAAGTCTTGTAATCACCTCAAGCAGTGGTAGAAACAGAAAGCTTATCCAACCAGCTCAAAGTAACTAAATCTGTTACAATAATAATCCAAGAGAAAGTTTCCAGAAAGTGAAAGTCTCATATATTTTCAATTGAAAAGACAGAAACGCCCATCCGCAGCCATATTCTTCTTCTTCCAGTTAACATAAAAAACGAAGAAGATACTTTAATTCTAGAGTTAAGGTTTCAGTCCAAACAATTTTAAGTCCTCTTGGTAGGCTCTGTCTGCCTGTAAAATTCAACTCACGCTTTCCTGGAACGGCAGAGGCTGAATCCGTGTCTAGCTTCGTTTCAACGAAGGCAGCCTGAAGCACGGAGAAATCCCCGACTCCGGGGAAACTCACCTTAGCCCTCACAGCTGTCAAAATGCGAGGGCTAGGGAGCTCTACCCCTATCGGGGAAGCTCACCCCCTCCCCTTTGCCCGGGGAAGGGGATTCCGAGCCGCGGAACAGCTGTTCCTGCGGCTCTTACGTGTCTTCAGGGCGGACAGCTCACAGAGGAGCTGCCATCGGCGCCGCGATTCAAACCGGAGCTTCCGGCACCCAAGAATTTTTGAAGCAGTTCCGTTGGGATGTTTTTGATCCCCCCGCAATAGCCCAGATTAGGCACCAACCCTAATTACTACTAAGGAATTTCAAACCTTGTAAGATGTTATGACAAATGCCTCAATTTGAATGGCGATTATGTCGAAAAGTAATGTTGTAGTTTTCTAATGTGTATAATAAAAGTTCTGTATCTGCGAGTGTCTGTCATTGATAACCAAACGGGTTTATTTCGAATTGCCCTCATATTAGACTGATTGTCAGGTCTGCCATATTTGACTTGGCGCCTTGCTAGCTCCTTCCATCAAAGGCCAGGGGAGAGGAGACGTGGAGGAACAAATGGACAATAAACATGTATAGGGACGCAATGGGAAACAGGAAGGGGAGATGACAGATTGACAAAGACCAGAGATGCAAGGAACCAGTTTGTGCCAGCACTCAAGGCCATGCACCCTGAGGATGGAATGTGGATTACCCCAAACATCAGAACGTTTCTCAAAACACCTATGCAGCTCTTCATTGGCTGAAGACGAACTGGTCTTGGGGGGGGAGGGCTAGGGTGAGGGGAACAATTTGTAATTTTTCAGGCGGGAAACTCATTTCTAGCCTGACTTTACTGTAGCTAGCAGGCTTTATTCATCCAAATGAAGTCGAGGGTCTTTCTTTCCTAAGGGATCTGACTGGGGCAGGTCTGACACTGACATTGCTGAAATTTGAATATCTATAAATTTATTGTATCATAGTGATTGGCATTTGATATAATTTATCTGAAAGCTGTAGCATTATGTTTTGACAATGAAAAATGATGATCTACTCTGTATTCTTAAATTATGAAAGTCAAGCATAATTTGAGATGCAGAGCTTAGATCCACATCATCTTTTGATTGATTTGATTATTGCAGAATCTATGTTGCATTTCCAGAGAAGTAACAAGATAGGAATGAATTATGTTAATATGGTGAACTTTGCAAATAACAATAAGCATTACTGAACAGGTCATCAGATCTATAGGAGTTGATTCATTTTAGAAACAAAGACGGTTCAGATGCATTATTTGCAATGCAGTACAACTAACAAATGTTCTTGACAAACTGTTCGTACAATTTTGTATGCCATATTCAGACGTACATTTAGTTCTAATCTGAACTGCATTCTTTCTTTTATTCTGTCACATGAACATTTATATATTGAATATTTTAAAGAAATTTGCTTTTCCCTGATGATTTACTTAAAATAGTAGGGAATGATCTAGGATAAACTGATACAAAAATATAGAAATGAAAAAGTAGTACCTGTCTTAAAATAAAGCCATTATTTTTTTCGTAATAGATGGAATCTGCTCGCAAAGCGTGGGAGAATTCACCAAATGTGGGAGAAAAGAGTTCACCTGTTACATCAACAGCATCTCCTGTTACTGGTGGTAATAGTAGTGGCAGTGGAGGTGGGAACAGCAGCAGTAGCAGTGGACCAACCAGTGGTACATACAGCTCTTTTTCAAGTGCATCCATGCCTCCTATTCCTGTAGCTTCTGTTACACCTACAACTTCATTATCAGGTATTAATCTTTAGAAAAAATAACTGAGAAATATGACTGAGTAGCTTGCTATCTTTTTTTTAAATAAAGCTCCCTTTGTTTCTTTACTCTGTTTTATTATTTGATTCAATCCTGTCTAATTTTATATCCTTTTACTTTGTTTATCTAAATTATTAAACTAAAAACTTTGAATCATTCTTCTTTTACCAAGGTTCTGGTGCATTTTTATATTGTCAGTGAAAAATCTATTAACTATAATTAATTTTCAGAAGCTATCTAAAAGTTTTATACAATCAACTGTTGGAAAGAAAATTCTACTTAAATTAGACAAGAATAAAATAGCATTTAAAATCCAATATATTCTGAACAGAGGTTTTGATGTTGAACTGTATAATTTTAATTAGGTGTGTATCCAAACAAAAATGCTTTGCAACCACATTGTTACATATTATGTATTTTGAGTCCTTTAAATTTTAAGACCCCTTCTACAATAACCATCTCTAAACAATTTTAATCTATATTTTTAAACACAGAATATAGATTTTTTCAGTTTATAGTTCAGTTCTCTTCATCACTTAATAAACTGCCAAATAGTTTTTAAATCATTCTTCTCAAATAATTATTACTTGATGTTTCTGAAAGAAAAAAACTGCTCCCAGTCTAGTCTAACATCAGATGCTTATAGCCGTTGCCAGTGGCTCTATTAAAGATCTATAAAGTTTCTGCCTGGAATGAATAGATGATGCAGACCATCGGGATAGTTCTTAACCAAATTACAATAGTATATCAGGGGGGTTTTTTGGTAGTAGAAATATATGGATGTGATAAAACACAATACAAGAGTACAGGAAGACTTACAATTGTGTCAAAATATTAATATTTTCTAAATGCTACATTCTGATTATAATAATGAATTATAGTAATTGCTCTGCTGTTATTTCCACATGGTGCCAGGTATGTATCTTTTGAATGTGTGGTCCTAATGAACATAAACTCGGGAACAAATGGTAAATCTCTTAGATTGTTCAGGTAAACAATCAGTTCTGATCCAATATAATATTGGAGACCTCGGACATAATCTGAGTCTACTGTGAAAACATTTCTACTAATACAAGCTATTGGCAGAGGTACAGACCTTTATCTAAAACAGGTGACCTGTTGCCTTTCTGTAACATTACCATTTGTCATATTTATGGGAATTCATCTTACTTGGAGAGTCTTCACTAATTATAATCCTTTCCTTGTCCCATCTTGGTTGTTAAAATTTGTAAGAGTTATGAGCCAATTTTTTTTAGCCATTTCTATAAAAAAACATTCTGATTTGCTGCTTTTTTATGGAGGAATGAGTAATTCAGACATATAAAGTAATGCACAAATTTATCTGGTTTATTCAGGCATATAAAGTAATGCACAAATTTATTTATTTTGGATAATCTTAAAACTTTAATTCTAAATTCATTTCATAGGGTATTGTATATTGCTAGTACATTGCCTGTTTCTAGGAAAATAATCTAAAATGTCTTAAAAAGTTGAGATCAGTTGCTGTCATTTGAAATAAACAACCTTGATTTAGCAAACGTTACACCAAGTAAAACATATTGTTCTTCAAGGAAATTATCATTGTTGAAGAATAGCTGCTATGTACAGTATGTCTCTATCAGATATATTTTATGCATATCATTAAGGTTTCACCATGCTATTTTATGTAGACAGCAGTATCCTTGTATAGTAATGTTTTGAAATTGAGAGAATATTTAATATGATATTGCTTAATGCAATTTGCATTAAGGTTCATCAAACTAGGTGCAACAAGCTATGGCAGATCAAACTTATGTTTATTATGCTTATTATTTTGTCAGTAACTCTTGAATCTTGCTTTGCTGATTTCTGATCTTAGGAGCTGGAACATACACTACTTCGTCACTGAGTACAAAAACCACTACAACCTCCGACCCACCCAACATCTGTAAAGTGAAGCCACAGCAATTACAAACAAGCAATTTAGCATCTGCTGGTCATTTTTCCCAGTTAAGCTGTATGCCATCTCTGATTGCCCAGCAACAGCAAAGTCCACAGGTCTATGTGTCTCAGTCAACAGCAGGTAATGTGATAAAGTTATTGTGTGATATTTAGAAACATTTTTCTCTAAAATTAGAAGTCATTGAATTTAAGTTCAGCTCTTCTGGTGGCTTATTTTCTGCTAGGCATCCTTATAAACTGTTGTTTTCTTCCAGTCATATAAACTTAATTTAGTATTCAAGAGAATATTGGAATTCCTCTGAAAATTGGATATTTGTTTATTTTTTCTTCTTCATATTTTAATTTTTATATTTTCTTGTGTTCCTGTAGCTCAGATTCCTGCTTTCTATATGGATACAACTCATTTATTCAATACCCAACATGCCCGTTTGGCTCCTCCTTCACTTGCCCAACAGCAAGGATTTCAACCAGGACTTTCCCAGGTACATTTGGTGGGATTGGGAAACAAGCAGTTTACAGTTATATGCAGGTTAAATTAAATCAATCTAGCTTGATATTTATCCAGCCTTGCTTTTTGTCATCACTCTCACAATAAAAAGTTAAGCTAGCATTCATGCTAGTTGGTTTTAATTACTCTAGTAAGGAAATTATATCATTCTGGGTAAAAATGAATAAGTCAAAGTATGGGGTGATGATATTCACCAACAAAAAATATTCTCTCAGATACTGTTGGGAAAAGAGCAGGAATTATTTTAGAAGCAGCTTGAGAATTGTGTTTACTGCTAACTAGCATGGAGATGGAGGAAAATTTGCATCTGATTTAAGAATTACGAGGAGGACTGGTTATTGGTATTTAAATAAATAAAACTGCCTGATAAACCTAATAGCTGCATATAGTAAAATCTTGATTTTATCAACCAGTGATACAAACACAATAAGAACTTGGATGTTGCACATGCCAAAGTAAGCCTTCGCTATACTGAAATATTTTATGTTATATCCAAAGATAACAGGTATCTCAACATGCAAGATTATTTTTGTGAATTGAACACTGGGATGTTTGAAACAGTTCAGAATTCTTTTAAACCAAATCTAGCGGTAGTATTCTCAGTCCTGAAATAAGATATCTGTACAATTATTAGTTGAAATGCCACAAGTTAATATTACTGGGGCATATTAAAATGTCCAGTTCACTGTTCAGTGTTTCATATATCATTTTCTTGTAAACTACTCAGATTATGTTTAAGACGGAAAGCAATATATAAATGTTATAGATAATTAAATTTACAGTTAAGGCAGGGGTGTTCAAACTTGGCCCCTGGCTGAGGAATTCTGGGAGTTGAAGTCCACAAGTTATAAAAGGGCCAAGTTTGAACACCCCTGAGTTAAGGGATGTGAAACCATAAAACTAGAGTAGACCTCTCTGCTGAGGTACTGGAGAAATACCACAAGAATGAGTACTAGCTGGATAGATTCAGCTCAGGAGAGTTTCCTACGTCGGTGGGTTTCATAGATATTTAAATTATTTCTCTTCCTTCCAGCCTACTTCAGTTCAGCAGATACCAATTCCAATATATGCCCCTCTTCAAGGACAGCATCAAGCTCAATTGAGTTTAGGAGCAGCACCTGCTGTCTCCCAGGCCCAGGAGTTGTTTAATTCTTCTCTGCAGCCCTATAGGTAAGTCTTTGAAATATAAAAAAAAAATAGAATCAGGAAACAGAAAATGCTGGTTTCTGTCTTTCTCTCCTAAATAGCACTTAGACTTATATACCATTTCATAGTGCTTTCCAGCCCTCTCTAAGTGGTTTACAAAGTCAACATATTGCTCCCAACAATTTACCAACCTTGGAAGGATGGAAAGCTGAGTCAACCTTGAGCCAGTGAGAATCTAACTCCTGGCAGTCAGCAGAATCAGCCTGCAATACTGCATTCTAACCACTGCGCCACCACAGCTGTAAATTTTTGAATTATTAGTTTATTCATACCATTAATAAAAGATAATTTTGCACTATATTTTTTAAATTGCATTAAGTTAGCAAAATCAATTAAGTAAGTTTAATTGAGGTAGTGGTGGTTGATGTTGCTACAAATCAGTGTTCAGATTTCCTTACAGTGAAAGAAGATTTGGAACTTTTAAGAATGTTAGTACATACATTTTATGAAATATCTTCTTCAGAATGTTACTCACTATTTGTAATTGCACTGCTTTTATAATGCTGAAAGAAGCATTGAAGCATTGTAAGTTGTGAGGAGGAGGAGGAAACTTATGAATTACATGCTGCATTTTTGTAACCTCTTCAAACAAGTGGTGAGGTTTGGCTTAAAATAGTTCTTAATCAGGCGTGTGGTTTAAACAAATAATTACAGTTGCTAATTAATTGTCTACAAATACTTGAAATTTTACAAATAAGATGAAAAAAATTAAAATAAAAAAATACTTATATAGTTTTATCTGGCTCTGCCTCTTCAGTAATGTCACAACCCTTCAAACACTCTAATTAGAAAGTGAAAATATCCTTAATGATTACATTGGCTAAAACAATTATTTGTTTTACAAATTCTACATTTAAATGTAAGCTCTGCTCAAATGCATATTGATTTCATAGTAATGCAAGATAAATTGATGCTATAAAAAGGTACTGCTGCTCAGGCTATCTCTGATTTCTTGCTTTTTCTAAATTCCTCCTCCTCTGTGATGACAAACTTTGTACCATACCCAATTCCTAACTGAGGATAGAGAAAAGCAATCTCACCACCACATACCAAGCCTTATATTTCTTCCCACAAAGTACAACACACAACTGTTTTGCAGGAGAGTAAGTACAGTAGTTTAGAAAAATGAATACTGGCAAATCATATACTGTATAAAAAAATAGTTGTCGCTCAAAAAATTTCCTCTGTATGCACCACATACTCTGTGCTCTGTTGGTGCATATCTGATGGTAAATGTTTTGATAGTTTACTTTTTTGTTACCAGTTTCCCTTCCATTTAGAGATCAAGTTTATACTGTATTTTAAGCAGTATGGAACTATACAGTAGTTTAACCTGAAGACACTCCTTTTTAATTTCTTTCCTCTTAAACCTCACCAGATGGGCAGAGCATCAAAGAAATCAAGATTCCAGATTCAGCCATAAATTATATTAAAAGAAACCAGAATTTATAAGCCTAACTTTCAGTCATGCTTTACAGTGGAATTCTTTACCTTGTATATGTTTAGATAGTGAAACAAACTACAATTGTGTTGATTAAATACAGGCATAGTACTGTATGCAAACTATCCATTGTATTTGCTTGAATATTTGCCCAGTTTTTTCAGTGCAGCTTTAAACTTTTCTTCTGTGGCAGCTTTCTAATAAATTAACAATATTTAAATGATTAATTTAGTCTATTTTTTAAAATAGATCTCAGCAGGCATTTATGCAAAGTGGCTTGTCTCAACCATCTCCAGTGGTACTTTCGAGCACAGCTTTACACAACTTCCCAGCAGTGCAACATCAAGAACTGGCCAAAGCACAGTCAAGTCTTGCGTTTCAACAAACATCCAACACTCAGCCTATTCCTATCTTGTACGAGCACCAGTTAGGTCAAGCTTCAGGATTAGGAGGTTCCCAACTAATTGATACACATCTGCTCCAGGTAAGAAAAAAATGGTTCCTAATATGGCTTCTGAAGCTTTGGAATTATTGCCTTTTTGATGTAACAAAAGGAAACTGCGATATATAAACAAAGTTTATATGTTAAGTTTATGTTTAGTGTCCACGGTACAGAGATAAGGTTTAGTTTTTAGAATTTAGTAATCCTGCAGTACTGTGACTTACATTGTGAACAGAGGCCCATTAATACTTAAAGAGATGGTTACTGATTGGTTTGATTGGTTGGTTTGAAGTGAGGCATCATCATGTACTGAACATATCCAGTGACACATTTCCATCCTGGATTAGGCTGAAAATGCCATGAAAATTGTGGGCTGAGGGCCTGGATGTGACAAAAAAGACTGAAGTTAAGTTTGAATTGTTAGCAGATGAAAGCTCTATCAACCATATAACACCTAAGTTGCAAACATTGCATTGGCTATCAATTGATTTCTAAAATGCCTGTTTTAACAAAGCTAGGTATTTTCAGGGCCTTCTTCTCCTATCCTATACACTTGCCTATACATGCTTTATATTCCCCAGATGTAGGAGGTGAAAGGATTGGGGTCCCAGAAACAGATCTACACAGGAAGCGTAACTATTTCTGGCATGAGATGGTTTCCACACCCATAGCTACCCATCCATGGTCAAATCCTAAACCTGTTCATCCGTCCCAGAACCAAACATAATCTAGGCAGAGAGATACAACCTTGACCACATTTCCTACTTGGGTTGGAATTGAGATGCTCACCTGAGTATTGTTAGTGTATTTCCCTAGTGTCTTTATGGAGATATTTAAAAATGGACAAAAACTTCTAAACTGGTATCAACCTTCAACAAAGATTGTAGTGCTTGATGTCTCCCTTCAGCACTATCTGAAATTTCTCAGTTAGGAAGGGGGAGACCCACTGCAGATAGTGCCCTCCCACTCTCAGTCTCATAAACAGTCCAGAAGGGATTAAAGGTATGAAAATATTGTAAACTGCCCAGAATCACATATGTGTGAGTGGGCAGCTATATAAATTTGTTTAATAAATAAATAAAAGCTCTGAGAAAAGATTCATACTTTCCCTTTCTGTAGTTCGTTTCCCATCATCCATAAATCAATCAGCATGGACTCAGTTCCATACCTGGCTTGAGCTCAGACTGAAAAGGTCCATATAATCCATTTCTTCCAGCTGTAAAAACCAGTCTGATATTTTGTGATTACATTGTAAATCACTGTGGCTTGTTTTATACCTCCAGCAAATGAATTGAAAGAAAGTCCTCCATGTTAAGCTGATATGCCAGTGGTGTCAGCAATGATTCATGAACTACATGATTAGATTATAGTCCTTGTGGACAGTAGTTGAAACTAGTCTGGAAGCTATAGCTATCATGGAATGCAAAAGCTAGGCTTTTGACTGGAATATGACTCTGTGTTCACTTTATACCTGTGCTGAAAGATTTGCATTGACTTCTGGTCTATTACCAGCCAGGTTCAGGATGTTGCTTTTACAAAATCCTATACAACCTGAGAACAGCTTGTCTAAAATAGTGTCTTTAGTTACATCCACTTTCTGTAAACACATAATATATTTAGCATTGATCTTGTTGTCTTTGCATTTGCTGCCTGGCAGATATAAAGAAATTGGCCTTCTCTAAAATAATAGTATTTATTTGGAATAACCGTCTCTTTATGGTGTGCCAGATTCAATACTGATGTATTTTGCTACAGTTTTTCTTTTTGCACATACTCTATATCTCATATTAAGTTAATATGCCCTTTAAATATATGTGATCTACTTTTACCTATGCTTTTTCCACCCATAGTCTTTTGTTTGTGGTAGTCAACAGCAACCGATAAGCAAAATATTATAGATTTTAGCAAAATATTTTTCTAAAATCTATGGTTGCAAATAAATGCTTTAGTGCTAGTAGTGAGATTTTAATGAGAAGGTCAGAATCAGGCATCTGGCATTCTCATGTAACTTAAGGACTTGCTCGTTATTTTGATTACCCTGCCTGTGATCTGTTAGAGAGGTCTACAGATTTTTGGATTGGAATTTGTTGGGATCATTGTAATTATACTTAGAATGAGCTGACAGCCTCTCTCTCTCTCTCTCTACCAATAGCAATCCCACTGTTAAGGGAACTTTCAAAGCAATTCTTCACTGTAATCCTATCAGTTTAGAAATAATTCTAGCTAGCTTGGTTGATATGCAGTTTTGAGATTTCAACCACATCTTACAGTGCTTAGCTTTATAGCAAAACATTAAAACAATATATCAGGATATCTTAGGCTTAGTTATAAGGCACGTTTTAGGAGCACATATATGAAAATTGATATGTTTAATGCTTTTTTCTGATTCAGCTGCCAGCTTATATATAAAAGGGATATTTGCTTTATAATAACTACTTTTCCAAAGAGTAAAACTACAGTAAACAGAATTATTACAAATATGTATGTATGTATGTATGTATGTATGTATGTATGTATGTATGTATGTATTCTGCTCTTTCAAGTTAAAATAACTTTACTTGGTCACTCAAAAAATGTTGATCTCTTTCTTCTCAGGCGAGAGCTACTCTTACCCAGGCCTCAAATTTGTATTCTGGACAGGTTCAACAACCAGGGCAGACAAGCTTCTATAATACTGCTCAGTCTCCCAGTACCCTCCAGCAGGTAAACTATGGCATGGTAAATTGCTTTCAATTTTTTAACTATCCATATGTGTGTGCTGTGTGTAATACTGTAGTTCAGTGACAAGAGAATATTCCGTTTTGTGCAAAGTAGATAGCAGAAATTCTGCTCTATATAGCAGAAATCTAAAACAATTCTTTAACATGGAAAATTACAGGTAATTCCCAAGTTACAAGCGTTCACTTAACACTTGTTTGAAGTTACGCAATCAGCACCCCCTAGTGTTTACGAGCATGTCCCAAAATTACAAATATTGCAGCACCATGGCAGTCATTTGCCCTTACGAACAACCACAGAGGCTCTGCAACATTCACTCTATTCCCCCCACTGCTCCCCACAACTGCTTCCCCCTCCCTTCCTGCCACACCGGACTCACCTTGCAAAACCTGTCTCTCTGCTGCGGTTTCTTAACCTTTGAGGAAGAGGAGAGTCGGCTTGGAAATGCTTTTCGCACCGACAATGGAAGCTCTGAGCAGGGAGGCATCACGGGACGAGTCCCCTTGCACCTGCGTCCAAGCTGCTGGCGGCGGCAACAGCCATCTGAGCGGCCACGATCTCCCCCAGCCAGCCAGCCAGCCACCCACTCCACCCAACCTACTCCTTGCCTAACCAGCCAGTGGCACAAATCCTGATTGCTCTTCTCCTTGTCATCCTCCCCACTCAAGCAGCAGTAGCTTGAGTTTCTCCACTCCGTCCAAAAAGAAGAAAGCGGAGGTGCAGAGCAGGATTGCTCTCAATAAGGCCAGCACACGGAAACGAGCACCGCACCCGCGTCTTCTTGACAGCAAGAGGCCGAGGCCCTTTGTCCCATGCCTTTGGCCGCACAGGACAGATAGCCGCCAGCCAATCAGGTGGCAGGGAGAAGCCATGGTGCTGCAGGGGGGCAGCGTGCGATAGGCAATTGCAGGGGCTGTGTTGTGGGGCAGCAGGCGAACAGCAGGGCCAGCATGCCTTCTCTGATTGTGGGGGTGGGGGGGTGGGCAGGCAAATGGCAGAGCAGGTGCAGCTTCCCCGATTGCAGGGGGCGGGTGGGTGTGCAGGCGAACGTTTCTGGAGATCCGGGCTGGGGAAGCCGCAAACCCCAAATCCTCTTCTGTCTATCTTGATTGTGCTGCCAAATTTCAGTCACCAGATTGCAATAAATGAACCCAGGCCAGGTGACTGCCCCCTCCCCTCCCAAGGATCACCTTGCTAAACAATTTCTAGCCTTGTGTCTCATTCCTTTGCTCTGTCTTCTTTCTCTCTCCCCCCCCCCGCAATTGGAGAAGCCAAGCCTGCCCTGCCGTTCACCTGCGCACACACACCCGCTCCCCCCACACACAATTGGAGAAGCCATGCTGACCCTGCCTTTCACCTGCGCACCCACCTGCCCCCACGCAATCAGAGAAGCCCTGCCGTTTGCCTGCTACCCCACAACACAGCCCCTATGATCGCCCATCGCATACTGCCCCTCTGCATCACCATGGCTTCTCCCTGCCACCCGATTGGCTGACGGCTATCTGTTCCATGCAGCCAAAGGCCCGGGACAAAGGGGGCCTCGGTGAAAGGGCCAGGCCAAAGGACACGGGGCGGAGGGCAAGGAGCCCACTGGCCAGGGAAAATGGGTAGGAGAGGGCCAGCCGAGGAGGAACGCTGAAGGTAAATCAGTGGAGGTGTAAGGTGAAAGGTGAAGGAGGCATGGCCAAGGGTGGGAGCCTTATGGTCCTAGACCCTTTCAGCCTCTTGAGATAATTGTGCTCAGAGTCTCAGATGAAAAGATTTCTATTAGTCCTTGGAGTTTTATTATCACTGCTGTAGCATTTGGTTGTTTCATGGAAGATGGACACGGGTACCACTGTATCTTCTGCTAAAAGCAGCTCTCATGAGCTAGACATTTGTTACCAACAGAAAGTAGTTACTTGTAAGGTTCTGCCTCAGCGATCTCCCTAGGAAAGCATGACTCTTGAAACATTGTTATTTCAAAAGCATCTTTTACTGAGAGAAAGTGATTGCAGAGAGGTCGGGCGCAATCTGAAGTTCTTGCACGCTAACATTAGGTTAATTTCCCATTGTCCAACCCCACCCCATGGCCCCAGTTCATCTGGCATGAAGTTGTGAGAATTCCAAGCCAAAAAGGTGATAACAAGTTGGTCTCTGGCGCCTTGACCTTGGTTACAGGCAGGAGCTGGCTGGAAAGGAGTCAAGTCAGATGGCCCTGAGGGCTCATTCCCCCCTCTCCAATTCCCATGCAGATACATCAAAGCGAAAGCAGAAACAAGATAGAAACATCTTCAATCCCCAAGCAGCACTTCCCCCTCCCCTCAGAATGGCAGTGTTCCGGTAGGGACCTGACAGTTACTGAGAATGTATTAGTAATGCTAGCACAATACAAGTGAAATGATGCAGAAGAAAAGTGCTTTGCTGCTCTTGTGTTGCTATAGTGCTTTCCAATTTCCAAACTGTTCAGATTTAAAATGATTTAGAGCAGAGGTCCCCAACCTTTTGGGCACCAGGGACCGGTTTTTCTGCAGACCGGAGGGGGCGTGATTTTGTGTGTTGCCTGCATCCTGCGGATGGGGCTTTGCTCATTTGTGCAAACCGGTTGCTGGCATGCTGTGGCCCGGTACTGGTCCACGGACCAGGGGTTGGGAACCCCTGATTTAGAGACCATATTCAGTTTGATAATATTTAAGATAATTCGGAGAAAAACTTTTTTTGATATGTTTGAATGATTAAAATCCAAATAATGAATGAGAACCAGTTTGATTAAGCTTCTGGTCTAGAAAAGGGAAAACCTAGTCCTCCCTTAGGCATGACAGCAACTGTTTTAGGGTAGTCACTCTCAACCTTAGAAATAACGTATTGAGAAACCATTTCTAAAAATATTACTGAGAAAACTACGTGGACTTGCCTTATGTAGTCTCCAGGAGCCAAGATGGATCTGAAGGCAAATAACAAGAACAATATGAATAGATTGTGGCAAGTATTAAAACCTGGCAATACAAAGGAATGTTCTTCAGTACTTTAAAGGAGGTATTAGCCCAGCCATCCACTGAATCCAGTTGTTTCTCCAATAGTTGGCCAGTTGCCAATTAATTACTTTCTTTTGAGGCAGAATTGTGGAGCATATAATTGCTACTTCATCTAGAGAGATATTTATGAAAGAGAATAGGAATCCTGAAAATTCTCCTGGTCATCTCCTGGTATCAAACAATCATAGTGTCTGCCTGGAGCAATAGTCAGAAATTAGTATTTGCTCCTTAATAATTCCAATCATACTAGAATGGGTTAGATGGAAATACTGTTGGTATATGGTAAGGCATGGGACTCAATTTTTTCTCCTATGCTATTTAACACAAACAAGAATTGAGAGTAACATGACACATATTTTTTCCATTTTCATTTAATTCAAACAAAATAATGGAAATGCTGAACCAGTTTCTAATACAAGCCTGAAGTAAAGAAGCTTCCTCTTGGAAAGGGTCTACCTCCCCATCAGAATTAAGTTTACAGTATGAAATTAAGCCCAATCTAGTTTCTAGCATATACAGTTTCAGTGACATGTCATTAACTCAGGCTGGTATGCCAATAGCAAGTCCTCCTCAACAGAAAAAGCACTTATTATGGAGTCAGAGGCTCTTTAATGCAATAAACATAGCATCCTTTTTATATTAAATATGGAGCAACCTTGTAAATTTCCATTAGTTCAAAATATTGCAACTAGAATATAACCTGGAATTGATGTAAATGATGCACTGACTTCTGAGCACATTTCCCAATGCTGGCTCAAGATCAAGGATTGAAGAATCCTTTCTCTCACCTGAGCATGCAGGCACAATTCTTTTTCAGATGCCTTTCACTGGATGCCTTTGACTTGGAGTGATCGATGGCCATTGATGTAGTATCATCCAATTGCTCTATTTATTTAATGTCTTAGCTTTGTGTATGTGTAATTTTTGTTAATGATCACTTTTTCATTTTTTTAATATTTTAATAGATTAGAATAGATTCTAATTGGTTATTTATTACTAGCCTTTTAAAAATATATATAAATAAATACAATTGAGGGATCCTTCATGATCTTTTGAGTTTGGTTGTTTTCTTGCAGACATTTCATTACCCAAACTAGGTAATATTTTCAGTGCTAGTTTCTAGTTTGGGTAATGAAACATTTGCAAGAAAACAACCAAGCTCAGAAAGCACCAAGGAACTCTCATTTCAGCCCTCAGCTACAAATATTCTCCTTTATCAGTAGTAAATAAGATTGCCCTGATTTTGCAAGTTCAGAATTTCCAAAGCACATTTGCAACTAATAAACTGACATCCTATTTCCAAAATATGTATGTTTACAGGAATCACAAACATAGAAGGGATTAAGTATAATATGGGGGAGTAATGGAACAATTTCATTTGTAATTAGCATGATCCACCTTGTCTGAAAAATTGTTAATGTCTATTTAATTTCAAAGTTTTCTCTGCAACCTTAAAGAATAGAAATACAAATATTTTTTCTTCTGTGATTCATAAAAAATAGTTGCAGGATATATTAACAGTATTATGTACATATGGATATTTTCTTGTCATGTTCAAAAATGACAGTTTTGTTTTAATGCAGTTAATAAGCTTTCTGCTTGTCTAACATATTGTCATTTTATTCCAGGTGACAGTACCTATACCAGGATCACAACTTTCTTTGCCCAACTTTGGATCAGCAGGCCAGCCTTTAATTGCTCTTCCACAATCCCTTCAACCTCCGTTACAGCACACTCCACCACAACCTCAGGCTCAAAGCCTGAGTCGGCCAACACAAGTAGGTCAGCCTTTCAGAGGACTAATTCCAGCTGGAACTCAGCACAGCATTATAACTGGGAAGGTAAAGATGTTCATGTTAATCTTGCCATATGATAGCACAGAGGTTCCCAAACTTTTATTGGTTCACAGCACTCTAGCAGTTCCCAAACTCTGCATTAGGGTGCTGCAACAAACTCACAGTTCCATTATATAGTAAAATATCCCTGCAGCTTGCTACAATATCCAGGAAACTGCAGCACATAGTATGGGAACTACACTGATAGTAGATAATGAACACTAACAATGATTGAATTGATTTAGAATTAATAAGCAGATAATGTATCATATTTTAATTCCCAATGTTCTGTCCCAGCCTATAGCTGTCTTTGTTAAATGCACAAGGACAAATCCCCTTTTGAGAAATAGGCTGGAGACTCAAAAGAAAACCCCTTTTAATATTGGTAACAAACCTGCCAAATGGTCCAAAAACAAAAGCAACAAAACACAATCCAAATGGAGGAAATTGTCCACACGAAACACAATGCAAAACAAGGAATTAGTCACCGGCAATACCAACAGAACATGATCCCATGAAGTACTTTGCCTTCAGCAACCAGCACCGCCCACACCTTCCCTTTTTATTAAGCAGCCCCAAGGCATGGCTTCTCAATGCCTTCTCCTTCCTTGGCAACTCCACCCCCTCCTCCATCTGCCTCGTTGCAGCAGTGGCGCAGCAGAAGTGGGCTGGCAGCCTTGTGGGTGCCTGCAGGATGGGGCTGTTGGTGCCGCCACCGCGAGGCCAGGCGGGTGTCACAAAAAATATATAACATCCCCCCAAAATAAGACCTAATTCCTCTTGGAGGTAAAAATAATATAAGACGAGGGAAACACAACAGTTGGAGAACTACTCAATTTTTTTATTTAATTAAAACACTTAGAGCCTGGTACAGATGCATTTTTCTTCAAACAATCATATAGTTTGTAGTGTACATAGATTTGCAAAACAATGAGATAAAAGAATATTCCTGAACTTTGTTTTATGATTTATCTCATGGTTACTGTGAAATTGTGTGAATGCATCAGTGCAGTGCATGTTATCTCAGCTTGCAAAGCTTGGATTCATTGAATGAGTTTACCAAAAATGTAAAAAAAAAAATCTTGATTTTTTTTTTATTTTATTTTTTAAAAATCAATTATTATCCACCCTGAATTATGGCACGTAGCCCCTGGTGTGTCTAATGAATTCCATAGTAGCCTATTACAGACACTACATAGCCAAAATTGAGCTATTCTAAGTTGATAGATTATAGTGAAGAGAATGAAACATTCTAAATTCTTTTCAAGAATAAGAGTTAAAACAGTTCACTTTTGAGTGGGTTATGTCAGGAATGTATAAGTCCTGATATTCTTTGTATGGTTTAATAGGGTGAATACAAGGAAATTTACTATATGCAAAAGATGATTTATAATTATTTCTTTTTGTCTTAATGTTATTCCCAGAAAAGGAACTTTGCATGTATATTTACTCTTTTTTTTCTTGTTTCCAGCCCATGTATTTGAAGATATAGATGGAAATGTGCATTTGATTCTTACTTTTTTAGGAAAGCGCAGGGGTGGGAATAACCAACGTTGAAACAGTCACTGGGAATTAAAGTATAATACATTAACTGCTTATTAAGTCTAAACTAATTCGATCATTGTTATTATTCATTATCTATCATTGTTGTATTCCAAGTTGGCTTGCACACATAGTAAAATTTGCTGTTGCTTATTTTCTCTCAAACTGCATTCCTGCAAAATCATTTTTGAATGGATAACTTAAGAGTGATCTCTTGTTTGGTTTACCCCGCTTTTTCATTTGAGCTGTGTGCATCTGGGATAACAACCTGATGTATCTAAATAAAATGATCTACTACTTTGTTAAGAAATGCTTAAGTAAGGACGTACATCAATTTTTATTGCCATTTTAGTGAAGGACTTAATAAACTTCCTCTAGTTAAATGAGCATGACCTGATAAACCTATCAGTATTTTATTTTGTACTGTAAATAACCTTCCTGTTTTTCTTCAGATGTCGGAAATGGATTTGAAGGCTTTTGGAAGTGGCATTGATAAGCCAGGCACACCTCCAGTTTCTGGACGAAGCACCACCCCAACTGCTAGCCCCTTCCGGTAAACAAGTGTTTTCAAACAAGTCAACTGTATAGATTGTGATTGAGAGAAAAGAGGGGAAATTTAGTACTGAATTAAACTTTAATATAGCAGTGCCATTTTGATAACAGAAATGGAAATACAAGAATTCTGAGTGAATAAGGGTGATAATTCAGAGAAATATTTGACTTTATTTGTTGATAAGATTATGGTTAATGCAAATTACTTTTAACATAACTTTCCCCATGTCCTCCAGGGATAAAAGGAACTCCCAGAAATCCTAACTAGCATAGGGCCGAAAAAGAATTTCAGAAGCAGAAGGCAAAAACTTCTTTAATCATATTCAAAGCACAGAACTGGACAGGAAAGCAAGTGGACTGATAGAGGAATAAAAATAACATATAGAGTGCAAAGAAATTGAATTAGTTTTTTTTAACCTACTGTCTTTATTATTAAAATGGTAAGTGAGCTCTTTGAGCTTAGATTAACTCTTTCAGGGAGGCAAATTGAGATAATAAAGGTATTTTAGGGCATCTTGAGAGATTATGTAACCACACATCATAGGGTTCTGAGGGCATCAACCCAGGAGTACTTAAGGAACTCAAATGAGAGAATGCTGAACTTGTAGCAAAACTATGTAATTTGTCCTTCATATTGACTTCAGTACTCAAAACTAGAAGATAGTCAATACGATGTCATTTTTTAAAGAGTCACAGGAAAGTATAGGCCAGTCATCCTAACATCTGTTGTGTGCAGATAGATATAAGTGGTAATGAAAAAAAAAGGACATAAAGGAATAAGCCCTTTTTCAGCAAATTTTGCCTCATCAACTTTCTGGGCATTTTAGGAATGTAAATAGGCACATCGATCAAAACTATCCTGTCAGGTTTGTATATTTGATCATTTTAAAAAAATAACATTTTTCTTCAAAAGCTGTTGAATATACTTAGTAGGCATGGGAGAAGATGATCTGTTATTTTGTGGGTTGCAAACTGATTTCAAAAAAGTAAATACAGGTACTCCTCGACTTATAACAGTTCATTTAGTGACTGTTACAACTTACAACAGCACTGAAAAAAGTGACTTATGACTCTTTTTCACACAACAATTGCAGCATCCCCACGGTTAAGTGATTTGCATTTGGATGCTTGAAAAGTGACTCACTTTTATGACAGTTGCAATGTCCTGATATCATGGGATCCCCTTTTGCGAACTTCTGACAAGCAAAGTCAATGAGGAAACCAGATTCACTTACTAACCATGTTACTAATTTAACAACTGCAGTGATTCACTTAACAAGCGTGGCAAGAAAAGTTTTAAAATGGGGCAAAACTCACTTAACAAATGTCACATTTAGCAACATAAATTTTGGGCTCAATTGTGGTCATACGTTGAGGACAACCTGTAGTTGGAATAAGTGAGCAATGCTCTTCTTAGTGGAGAGAAATGAGTGGAATCTCTCAAGGATCTGCATTGGTACTTGTGCTTTTTACATTGTTCAGAAATTTTCTTGACTTAATGTGGTAGAAAACAAAAGTGAGAGTGAAGAGGTCCAAAACAATCTCTTTGGTCAGCCAAATGGCAAGCTCAGTTCCACCTGCATTGGTGGAATCTGACACTAATGGGAAAACTCAGTGAAGATGTTAACTCAAGTGTACAGTAGTTGCAAAAATGACACCTAGAGATTATTAGGAGGGGTATTGAAAATAAAGCTGTCAACATTCTAATGCCATTACACAAAGGTGTGGTAAATTTCAGTTAAATACTGAATGAATTTCTGATTGCCACATTTGAAGAAAAATACAGTAGAACTGAAAAGGGCAACCAAAATTATTGGGGCCCTGTATTATGAGAAAAGAACAGGACTTTTGAGATTCCAACTTAAAAAAAGGCATCTGGATGTAGAACATGAATATGATCAAGGTGTATAAAATTACATGGTGTTAGGATCACAAGTCATTCAATAAAATGGAAGGTTGCAGTGTCCCAGGGTCATGTGATCACCTTTTGCAACCTTCTAATAAACAAAGTCAGTGGGAAAGTCATACTCACTTAACAACCGTGTTACTAACTTAATAACTCCAGTGATTCACTTAACAACCGTGACAAGAAAGATCATAAATGGGGCAAAATTTATTTAACAGATATTTGGCTTAGCAACAGAAATTCTGAGCTCAGTTGTGGTCGTAGGTTAAAGACTACCTGTAGTCATTATAAGAGATTTTGGTTGAATTTCAAATATTACATAGATGAAACAATTATTGAGCATCTCTTATTTAGGGCTTTTTATTGTCTATGCTTAAGGAACGATACGGACAATTTTGTTAGCCCTTGTGTTATGCTAAGCTCTAAGGATTTTTTTAAAAAAATATGTTTTATTGATTTTTAACATACACCTTAATATTTGGTAAACATCGTGTTATCTGGGTTAGTATTTAAAAAACAATCAGTAACAATTTCTGTAATTCTATAGTCCATATAATAACTTGATTTCCTCTTCTTCCAATAATATTCTCTTTAGCCAATCTTAAATTAATATAGTTCTTATTTAAATAAATGATAATTAATATAAACATTTTTCTCGTGTTTCTGCAAATATAAAGCTTCTTTTCATTGATCATCTTTTTTTTTCTTATTGAAAGTTTTTATTACAATAGTAAAAACAAATGCAAACTAAACACAAAGAAAGAAAAATAGGGAGAAAAAAGAAAAAATATAAATCATCACAATAAGTACAAACAAATTCATTGATCATCTTGATTGCCTCATCATACATCCTGTTTACATTCTTATTTAAATTTGTTTTCCCCACAGTATTCAAAACATTCTTACTGGTTAAGATTTTCTCAAAATTAGTTACACTTAAGTATTTAAATCTTTTTTCTCATACAAGCCATCACATATTTACATGTCTCGTATCTTAAAGGAAAATAAGAGCAAAAAGAAAAAAAAGACAAAACAAAGAAAACATTTTTATATTTCTCATGCCCAAAAAAAAAACAACCCCAAACACGAAAGAAGGCATACTACAGTATATTACTTTGGGGGCTCGTCCCTCTTAAACTAATCTTCATTTATATTCAAAATCTTTATTAAGTCCCACTTCAACTAATCACCCAAGAAAGCAGAACTCTTGAAACAGGCATTGTCTCAAAAGGAAACTTTTATTAGGGACTAGTGATAGCAGGGAATTCAAGGAGAGATCTGAAGAAAAGCCCATATGAATGATATAATTAAGCAAGCAATATGACCCCTCGCACCAAAGTCATAATGTCCATTTGAAATCCAGCCAATCCACAGGTGGCCTGGTGTGCAGTTAACTGGCACAGTAGACCACATCTCAAGGTCTTCTCCAGCTTTCGTTTCCTTGTAACTATCTCACAGATAAAGAGACACATTCCATTCTCAAAAAAAGGAGGCCAGACAAAGAAAGGAGAAAGTGAAAGTTAACACTATGAATCCCCCATGCACCCCCTCCCCCAACAAGAATGGCAGGCCCCAAAAGGATAGAAGAAAGGAGATAGCACAGTGATGGCAAACCTTTTAGAGACTGAGTGCCCAAACTGCAACCCAAAACCCACTTATGCATCGTCGAGTTCCAGGTGGGTGTGGCCCATTGGCTGGGTGGGCATGGCCAATTGGGTGGGTGTGGCCAATTGGATGGGCGTGGCTGCAGTGATAACGGCAGACTGGGTGGGACTAAAAAGTTTAATCAATCAATTCCAACTTTGCAAGATCTTTTTTTTTCCCACGAGAAGTTGAAATTGACTTATTGAACCTTTTTTTTTTTTTGGCACACAGCGGCAGAGGCCTCAAGCGAAAAGGTTTTATAAAACCCAGCTGAAGGCCTAGGACTGGGGCGACGGCGCACGTGCCCACAGAAAAGGCTCTGAGTGCCGCCTCTGGCACCCGTGCCATAGGTTCGCCACCACTGAGATAGCAGATGAGGAGTTTTGGGTCTGACAATCTTTCTATTTCTTTAACCATATTCAAACAAATGTTTAATTTTTAAATACTCCGTCTGGTAATTCCCATCATCTAATTTCTTGATTCTCACTTTAGCCCTTTTTTTTTGCCCAACATCTTTTCTGTTCAATATGCTTTGCTGAGTCAAAGAGTCTTCCAATAATCTTATAAATGTTGTTGCAGGCACAAAAGGCAAAACAGGTAAGAAGTTTTTATAGGAAGATTTCGCCCCTTCATATTCATTGAAAATCTTTTCCTTTTAGTCTTTTTTTATTTTATTTATTATTTTTTCTCCCAAAATCTCGTAATTCTCCTGGCAAAATCCATTTTACCAAATCTTTGTTCTTGTCCTCAAACTTATTTTGTAATCTTAAAATGTAGTTTGTCTTTTCCATGTCCAGAATTCCCTGTCATTTTTTTCCATCTGGGTTAAGTCATATTTTCTAGTATTGTTAAATTCCATCTTGAAATCTCTCTCCTCTGTCTCGTAATCAGTTGTCTGTTTGCTCACTCTCTATTTTTATTTTCTGAGAATTTTTATGTTGTAAAGTTAAATTGGAGATATGTTCATTTATGTTTTCAAGGTTATGTTTAATTTCCTCGTGGTTTGAGATTATTGTTGTTTGGATTCTATTCCCCCTGAAAGGTTTAATTCGCCACTTCCGTCTGCAGGAGGGTGGGGCAGAAGTCCCCCTCCTTCTCACTTTCAGAAGCTTTTGCTTCTTGGGGGTTTTTTCCCCAGGAAATCAGTTTCCAAATAGAAGAGAAAAAATCGCTGTTCTTAACTAGTTCCAAACACATTGTTTACAGTCAGCTTAAAGGAATATTTTTGGATTTCGGTTGCTTGTATCTTGGGCTAGACTCGGAAGTTGAGCTAGCCTCTTCTCCTGCCAGTTTCTGGAGGGCTTTTCCCAAACTGATCGGATCGACCACTGTCTCTCTGCAATCAGCGGGACTTCTGTGTTGCCTCTACGGGGCAACTTCTGGCCCATTTAGGGTCCCCCGGCAGATAGAAATCAGCTGTAGGGAGTGGAGCCCCGGGATCCTTCGGCTGCTGTGCTACTGCACAAAACTGGAAGTCCCTCTAAGTTTTACAGAAGCCTATCAACAAGTAAAAATGGAAAAGCCACTCTTTGAAAACTAAAAAAGACAAGTGTCTTGCCAACATTTTTGGAATATATTGCTTCCTTGAAAGACAGACAAAGGAAGTGCAAGAAGTAGGAAACTGGCTTCCCAAGATCTTCTTACATCCCTATGACAGAAGTCCCCAATCTTCTGGGCACCAGGGACTGGTTAGGTGGAGGGCGGTTTTTCCACGGACCGGAGGGGGTGTGGTTTTATATGCTGCCTGCATCCTGTGGATGGGGCTTTCCTTGTTGTGCGAACCAGTTGCTGGCATGCCGCGGCCCGGTACTGATCCACGGACCGGGGGTTGGGGACCCCTGCCCTATGAGGAGGAGAAGATTGATCTTGTAGAATAATTCTTCTTTCAACTATTGACCATCATGCCATATTGCAAACTACTTTTTGATATAAATTTTAAATTACGAAAACAGCTGTCTGGTAGGGCTATCAGGAAAATTTTTGTTGGATTTACAGTGCATTAGATTCTGGCCATTGTTACCTGAAGAATTGTATTTTAAAAGGATGCTGAGTTAAATAATGAAAGCGTTTGGATAGGATCAGGGTGATATACAGTGCAGAGATTACTAGATTTTATATATTGGTTAGAATAAAACCCATTGTCAAATATATGTACTGGCTGGATTAAGAGTTCTTAATATTTTAAAATAACAGTATTTAGGGCTAGTCATTAATGTTCTAAGCAGTTGTGGAATTTTATGAAGTTAAGTTAGCAGTATCATACAGAAAGTTGTTTTCTAGAAGAGATCACACTGCCAAGAGAAAATTAGAAATGTATAGTAATACACTCTCAAGGCCTTTTGTTGTATTGAGAATTTTTCAAAGATATGGGTTGATTTCAGGGTACATTCCCTTAAGTCTAGATTGTCTTCCTTTAGTCAATAACTTAATTGTTCAAAAGACCAATTGTACCATTTAGAAATACAATGAACATCAAGTACTCTGCTTCTATTGAGCATCAGTAGACTAACATAAAGAAACAAAACTTTCATTAGTTGGAAGATATACAAGAATTCAGAATTCATTGTAATCCAAAAGAATTACCAACGCTTTATTATTCTCATTATGTGGCTAAAAGCATTAAATGCGATTTTATATGAATCTCATGGTGATGCAGACTATACTGTTAATGCACATTTTGTTCCATAATCTGAAACTATCATTTACTTAATGCATATTTTTCCTCTGGATAAGGTAGAAATATGAACATTACAAGAATTGGTGTCATTTATAATGTATTAACTAACAATGTATTTTCTCTTCAAGGGCTGTCTCTACAAGTCCAAATAGTCAGACCAATAAAATGAACACCATTATTTACCAGAAGCAATTTCAATCAGCAGCTGTGAGAATGACTCAACCATTTCGTCCTCAATTTGCACCACAGGTGGGCAGCAGCTGGTTTTCTGCAGTGGAATGGGATATTCAGCAGCTTGATTTTGTTTTGAATTAAGACTTCCTGGATCCTGAAATAAGTCAGATACTTTATTCAGTATGCTTTCCATAATTACAATTAATATGAGTGTTTTAGTATCTGGAGGAAAGTATTTTGTTTCAGCTGTATCTATGCTCAGTGAAGTTGAGAAATTGGACAGCAAATGGATGACCACAGACTTCCCCACATGGCTCTCATTATAATCCAAGGTTAATCGTTTGAAGAGAGAAAGACAAAGTAGCCTGCCAGAGAAGGGCTTCATGTCTCCAGCAACTGTTTACTATGTAATATACTTAGAATGTCTCCTGTGCAGAAAGAATGGGAATTATCAGAGGGCAAAGGTCTCTTTGCATAACTTCCACCATTTCACTCAGATTGTACAGAAACTCATAGTGATTGTTTTGCCCTTAGTCACTTACATGAAATGCAGCTGTAAAGTAGATTTCTAAAATAGCTATAGTTGGTAGGGAAAAAACCCACACCAATCCCTCTTTAAAAGAATGCAAATGCTGTAAAGCTTCTAATAGGGAGAGATGAGGTGTATACTTTTGACTTGAGACTGCCTTGGATATTGCATATAAAATTTGCAGCTGCTGGATATTGCCTAGAGGCATAAATCTACGTTCTAACAGTTCCTGCATCTTTGATATATTTGAGGAGGCCCTTCTGTTTTCCCCTCTTGGTCCTTGATGTGCTACTACAGTTTTTAAGCACAGTATCCTTAAGATTTTCCCACGTTGAATTTTCCAAACACAGCCAATCTCAACAGAAAAAGTGAACCCACTACTTGGCACTGTTAAATAACAGAGGCATGCTCCCTGCAGAAAAGCCACCATATGATCAGGTTGGCAGTTTGCTAACAGCTAAATGTCTCTCTTTTTTGTTGTTGTTTTTTTCCCCCACTTAGATCCTCTCTCAGCCTAACCTGGTCCCTCCATTGGTAAGAGCCCCACATACTAACACCTTCCCAGCACCCGTTCAGAGGCCGCCAGTGGCACTGGCTAGTCAGATGCCACCTCAGATGACCACAGGTCTTTTGAGCCACCCTCGATTGCCACATGTGGCGAGGGTTCCTTGTGGATCATTCTCTGGAGTCAGAGGCAATCAGGCCCAGGCTGCGATGAAGGCTGAACAAGACGTAAAGGTTAGTATTTTTGGATGGCCATGCTGTGTTAACCACAGTAACAGTCTTAACAACTTACAAGGCGAGATACTATTCTTTGTTTAAGATGCAGATCTCCCTCTCTGAAGTGGCCAAATAGAAACAGCAGAACCCATCACTAAGCTTCCAGCAATAGCTTTAGTTCACCTACTTATTTGTAATGCAGTCTAAGACCTGGTCAATTGTATTCATTCTCTGTGTTTTTCTCTTTTTTCAAGTCTAAAACCAAGCAAACCCACCCATAGCTGCATTTCACTCCATAAAATTGGTAGAAAAGCACTTGGAGACTCTTTTCAATGAAACCTTTTTCCCTAATTTGAGCTGTCTTGTAAAGTCCATGTGGGGATGTCATAAAAGCAGAAAGAATCTAAAAACAATGAACCTATGTGGTTGCAAGTGATGGTATCACTTGTTAATCTTTTCCATTATTTTCATTCATGAAAGAAAGTGTTAATCTGAAAAAAGTGAAACCACTTTGATTTATCCACACATTGATAAAATCTTCATGTTACTCTGTTTTGTTCAAGCCCCAGCTGGTGGGTATATAAATTAATCTTAAGTAACTTTTAATTAACATATATGTGCTATTCTGTTTTCAAAACACATTGGTTCCCAGGGAAAAGCATAGAATTGCGTATTAAGTTAGTAAAAAGAACAAATGAATATTAGATTAATAAAACTAGAATAAATACAGTTATTTAGAACCAGTATCATAAATGTGCTAGTTGGCTAAACAAGAAAAAGGATATACATTTTGTACCAGGCAAGTTTCTCAAGGGCCCATTTTGGGAGGGGTTTCAGGTATAAAAAGTTAGAGGCATATTATGGCCTATTGTGCCTCTTAACACTACACACACAAGCTGTAAGCTAATTTTCTTTACCCCACCTATTCTGAGACCACAAAAGAGCCCTTAAGTATATTTTCTGCACGTTTTGTGTTAGATAATTTCAGACAAACAAAACTTCAAATACTTATTTCAGAGCGTGGCTTATAAATAGATGTCTCTTTGAGTAGTCTTGCTGTCCTTATCTTGATGAGTTTACAGTATCCAAGGAGGGAAACATTTGAAGGAAGTATCAACTTGACTGTCTGTGATAAATATCTAGTCACTGTGCAATAAAATTGCTATTTTCAAACTGTATGAAAACTGCTTAATATTATATATCTTGTCTGGTAATTTAAATTGCTATTTGTGATAACAGTATTCAAAATCATGACTGAACCTCTTAATTCTTATAGTGCTTATAGTAGAATTTAGATATAAGGGAAATATCAATAAGAGTTGAAGTCCATAGAATGAAAGGCAACTATCATAAGCATATAAAAGAAATTCCCAAGATTGGTCCATTATTATAGCAGGGTGATACTAGATTCCGTTTTTGAAAAGTATTACTGGGATTTTTTAAAAAAAAACTTAATGAGCAGAATACGTACCTATGGTTGTTTTGGACTACTTTGTTTAATGTCACAATCCTTTTTTATTAAGGCCAAGCAGAGAGCAGAAGTCATTCAGTCAACGCAGAGATTTTTCTCTGAGCAGCAGCAGAGCAAGCCACCTGGAGGCAAAATACAGAAAGTGGGTGACAATGGGAATAAAGCTCCAGAGGCAGTAACAGATTCCACCTCTGGAATCTGTCAAGACAAAGTAGAAGAGAAACAGAATGCTACAACAGCACCCAAGCCTATTAGAACTGGTCCAATCAAACCTCAAGCCATCAAGACAGAAGAAACAAAATCATAAATGATGTGTCTACATACCAATATGAAGAGCGAAATGACAGCTGAACAAAGGGCAAGGCATACCTGTTCAAAGCTATGAGTAGCAAAAACAGAGACAGATGTGATCAGCTATGAGTGCTAATGATCTGGAATCGTGGGACTTTTCTATGGGACATTTTGTATGCCATTGCATGAATGAATGTGATCAATCAGAATTGAAGCACCTGTCTGCTTTTTCAATGGTGCAAAACTAAATAATGCTCCTGAGGCATTTTATTAGCCAAAGGTAAACATTCTCCTTTTTGCTGCTGATTTATTTAGAGAAGATGGGCAGATCGGAGAAGACCACGCTGGATGGAACACTGGGTTTGATTTTGTGCTTTTCATGTCCAAATGAGATGTTCTTTCAGAATGGAGCAGGAGAATTTATGACCATGAATAAAGTCATAAAGAGCAGCTTAATCACCCCCACTTTCTCCCTACTTCCCATTACACACCATTTCATTTTGTAAATGTTTGATGTCAGATTTCCAAGAAAGGCAGGAGGTGGCTGCTACTATAGTTTGATTATGGTGCTGAATTTAACTGAAAAAAATGTTAATTGCTTCTCCATGTTAATATAATATCAGAAGGGCAGATTTGGGAGGCTCCCTTTTATATTGCCAGTTACATTGAGCTAGAACTAGACAGTGCTTGAGAAGAAAGCATTTGGCCTTAAAATGCTTCAATTCATGTGAGCATAAAGCAACAAGCATTTGATTTTGGGCCACAAAAACCAGATATTTATATCAGAACTGCACCACTCTTTCTTTCTGCTCATTGTGCTGGAAAATAGAATTAAGTCTAATAATGCCTTCTTAATTGTATCCTTTAGTAGTATAGCTGTAGGAAAAGTACTGTACGATAACTTCTGTGAATGTAAAATATCTCATTCCTGCTTACAATATGTAGTTGTGACTGTGCTATAGCAGAGCTGTATAATGAAGTTATTCAGACTTTTCAAGACAATTGGAGGGCCCCCACATGGCACATCATACCGAACTATTTTCCCTGACAATTTTTCCAACACCTTTCTGGAACAAAGAACGAATTAAAAAAAAAAGTGTAATGTGTATAATTTTGTTCAGATGATGGCAAAATCTGGAAAAGTCTGTTGCTGCTATTGATGCCTAGTGAAATGCTGTTGGTTATCTTTTTTATATAAATATTATAATTTGCATTTTTTTTTGGAAATTTAACTGTGATGTCAGCCTTGGAGAAAGATATCCACTTGTGCTGTGAGTTGGCATTGTACAGAAATTAACAGCCATATTGGTCTAGAAAAGTTTAAACTTTTTTTTCATTTGTACAGGGGTAACGCACTGTATTAAATATGTAAGGTCTTATTTACATGGGTTTGATTACAGAAACTAATAAAATATTCTCTACATAAAATATTGGGTCATGTTTTGTACTTAAATTGGTCCCTAGGAGTTATAGACTTAATCCTTGTTTTGGGAGACCATCTATTTTATCAGTTCTGTTCTTACAAGCCTAATTCCAAAGAGGAGAAACTCACAGAACTCTTTTGTGTGATAAGTGAGAAAATTATGCTGCATTCCAAAGGGAACTTAAAAGTGGGCACATGAGCATACTGTAAGAGCACTTTTGTACAGAAAACATCCCATTTAATCCTTATCCTTAAATAGAAGGATTTCTGCACGGCATGCACCCAACCATTCTTGTGTAGGATAGCTTCATAGGGAGGCAATCTTTTTTTTACTTCATTTGACATAGCTGAATTGAATTAAGCAATTACTTATTTTAAAAATCTATATTCTAACTTTCAACCAGTTCCCAGGACTGAGTACCAATAATAACTAAAATTGGGGGGAAATTAAAACACGATAAATCAGCATAGTAGCAGTCAAAAAAAAATCAAAGCGCAAAAGCACTTACTGGACAATATAGGTCAAAAAGTGTTTCATTTGGTAGTAAAATGTAACCCACTTAAGCAGCAGTTGCACAATCAGGATTCCAGTCGGTGCTACCACCAAGGCCTTCCTCATAAAGGCTCTATTTGAAAAGAGCACTTCTTGAATACTTTAAATTCATTGGAGGCATATATGTAAACATTTTTTTTAGGTATTCCGGTCCTTAGTTATAGGGCATATGAAGAAGTACTACTTTGGAGCTCATGACCAAACTTGTACTAATAATGCACAGAGAAAAAGTAAAAATAGCATCCAGAACCAACACATGAGTTCACAGTTGGAGGTTGACCTTGATGCACTTGGATATGGATAGATAGCACTTCTGAGCATGTATTGAAAATTCCTGGCACTAACAGACTTAATTGATCTCTTTTTTCCTTCCATTCTTTCGTGTCTGATTTTCAAAGACTGCCTAGACTAGCCCCTACAGTTTTCTTGGCAATGTTTTTTTAAAAAATGGTTTGCTTTGTTCTTTCTAGGGCCAAGAGAATGTGACTGGTCCAAGATCACCCAGCTGGCTTTGTGCCTAAGGCAGGACTAGAATTCACATGCTCCTGGTTTCTAGCCACTACACCAGGGGTAGGCATGCTGGCTCAGGAATTCTGGGAGTTGAAGTCCACGAGTCATAAAAGAACCAAGGTTGCCTACCCCTGCACTACACCAAACTGGCTCAGTTGATCTTTGGCCATTATCAAATATTCCCTTCTACAGTCATGAGAGCCCACTGTCATTCCAGTCTCTGTGATAATCTAGTTCCTTGGTTGTGGATAAGGTTGTTTGGAAAAGAAAGTGGATCATTATATTCACATGCTTTGTTGAATTAAACATTTGTACTTCTACAGCAGTTTCTATTTCCCTGTGAAACGCTTGGGAACATAACCAATGGTGTAACTAAGTCTGAAATTTAGGTGTGAGAGTCTACTACTAAAACACTGCATCTGACTTCTGTATGTAAGCAAATTAATGAACGGGCAACTTGACATATCTCAAAATACACACAACTCATTGCAGCATAAACATTCCTAGCAAATAACAGGTGCAATTCTAGAAAACCATTGCAAAAAAAGGAGTTGTCTTGAAGGCCCATAGGTAACCTACATGTGAAAACCAACAAGAACTTGTAGATGAGCCTGCCAGAAAGGTGGTCACTGCAGTTTCGTATTTTCAGCTGAGGAATTGTGAGGAGCAGTATAGATCTGTCATGAGAGCTGTTTAAATTTCATTTGACAAGCTGGGCGTGCTATTAAATTATACAGAATTGCAAATTGCATTGAGACCCTTCTGAGCACTAATATTCTTTTAGTCAAAGGACAAATTTTAATCAGAAAGCCTTTCAAAGTATTCATGCATGATGCTTATTTGATAAAAAACTTGGAAACTAAAAAGAACAAAGCAGAATATAGCACCTCAGTTTGCTGAAAGTTAAACATGATTTAATTAGTTGTAAGGACTTGGACAAATGTATTTGCAGTTATTCAAGAGTACAGATAGTCCTTATTTAGAAGTTGCTAAATAAGGACTATCTGTACTCTTGAATAACTGCAAATACATTTGTCCAAGTCCTTACAACTAATTAAACTTCCCACTTTAGTAACCAACTTCCCACTTTAGTAACCAAAGTTACAATGCAATTTATCAATGAAGAAAAATTAACTTTGTGACCAATCCTCGTATTCACAAACTTCAGAGATCTGCAAAGCAAAACAGCAGATCATGAGCACAGTCATGGCTACACTTAGTGACCAAATTATGGGCCCCAATTGTAGTCACCAAATTAGAATTGCCTGGACCATAGAATTACAGGATCCAGGAATAAAGCTGATAAATACCATAAGGGACAACTTTTACACCCACCCCACACACCAACCTTAATTCAAGAAGCAGCATTGTATGAACTTCTCATGTTCAAATCCATCTCTGCCATGATACTTAAGCACTCAGATCAACCAGTCCAAAGCAGCAGGATGTAGAAAGTCAAGCTCCCATAGTAAGGGACGAAGCATGAAATGAAATTAAGCAAGTGATTGGATGCATTTCAGACTTTTTAGTCCAAGATAAAATATCAGTGTTCTTTGCACATGGTCTATTAGTCAGAGAAGGTCAGATAACTCTCTGCCAGAGAAGGTGTGGGAGTTCGATCAATTTGGGCTAGTTGTTCCACATAAGGTGGCAAACCCCATTCCATGGGGTACAGAGCAACAAGCACGGGTGGTATGTTCTTAGAGAATCGGTGACCACTTTCATTTTGCAAGTAACTGGAGAAAATGGGTGATGAATAAATAGCATAATGTTTTGGTCCAGAAGGAACACAATGTCTACGTTGCCCTGAAGAGTCTAAATCCTTTGTGTTGAGGGAGTAAACAATGCAGTTCTCAGGCCTCAATTGGTGCTCAGATAGGTCAATTGCCTCTTGCACAGGAACTTTGGAAAGCACAGCCCAGCTATCTAGCAAAGGCTGTATCCTACTCCCTTCTATTTGAGCTGAGAGCCACAACGGGTGAGAATGGACATACGTGTTTTGGTTTTCTTGGCAGCAGACTGGAGAGATTTTGTTAATGAGATGTGGGCATAAGTTCTCAACATTGGTGGGAAAGTTCTGGTTCTCTAAGAGACATCGCACACAACTCTGATTGCAAGGACAAGGCAGCCTTTGGTGAGATCTTACAGAGTGGACCACGTACTTGCAGGGCAATCCTCTAAGACCACAAGGAGATAAATTGTGGATCCCATAGGACAAATGGGAAGAGGTATCTAAAAAGGGAGGTGTTAAAGGTAGTGTGCAGTGACAGCTCAAATCCATTCTTCTGGGCTTCTGAGTAGAAAATCATCTGGCATTGATGCTTGGCCTGTGTGGCAGGGGAAGAAAATGAGATAATTCAGAAGGACCTTGGGTTTAGCTACTTTACTAAAGCAAAGAGTGTCCAGTGCTATGAAGTTCTATCCAGGTTGGCATGCCAAAATTTATTAGCGTTTATTAGTAACATATGTATAGCATGTGTTCTGCATTCTATACATTCATTTTCCATTTTACGGACTGAATGAAGGGAAAGATATGATCAAGCTATCTGTACTTGTGAACTAATGATGTCTAGTGGAAGATCCCATCTGCTACTATAGCACACTGCTTCTTGTAAATCTGCAAATGCATCAACTGCATTAAATGTAAAATTGTACCTGAATTTGCTTTCCACAGACAGTAGAAATATATTTTATTTGTACTGTGGATGTGTACCACCTGTACAATTTAGAAAATTACTGCTAAGTGCCTTGAAATATATATTTGAAAAAGGAACAGAGAAATAGAAAGAGTAGAACAATTAGAATAATAGCAAAAGAAGTTATTCTCAGGGCAACAACTTATTATAGAAGACAGGAGAACAACCACAGAAAATTTGAGTTGCCTCAGTGATAGTCCACATTGATTAAAGATACTCCGATGTCAATAAATGAGCAAAGAGCAATCATTCAAAACCTAATCTTGGATAAACATGTAAATCTGGTCTGATGTGACGGAGTTTATTAGAGAAGATGAGAAAAATATATTCTCTCTTTGCCAACCCATGTTCTTTGTGCAGCAGTGGGTAGAGGTCCAGTATGATTCAAGAACTCCAATTAAGGGTTGTATTTCACAGATTACTAGTTTGAAATGTTTGCTTATAAAAATGAGTGTTTGCGATAGAAATCTGGAAATCTCTGGGAAATTCTCCTGATTTCTGATTTTATACCTTTCCTGGAGTTACTTAGCATTTCGTTGCTCCCCAGCATAGAGAAATCTGTTCCAATGGATATTTGGCTCCACTCATCCTAGCAAATCATACAACTGAATGGCATTAAATAACCAGATGTAGAGGCCTTTCCTATATTTCTGTGATCAAGATCATACCAGTATCAGGAAAAATATGGTTTCATGGAAATTCAGAACTCTGAGAATATCAAGGACTGAGTAAAATAATTACCCTGCTGATCTTGGGGGTTTTATGTCACCCTGGAGATAATTCTGTCAAAGCTCAGACTGACCTTCAGAATGGAAAAATGTTCCCAGTGGTTGACACAACATCAGATCCCCCTCACCTTCTGATTACAACCCTAAGAAGCTGTTGATTTTGACAATGGTAGTGATGAAATTATTATGTTGATGGCTAGATCAAAGATGGCAGAAAGCTTGGAGAAAGTCCAACTGGATACAAGGCCCAACTGGATACGAGCATATTTGAAGGCTTGGCAACAAATAACTTATTTTTCTGAGTTATCCAGTAGAATTTTTTTCTGATTGTCATAAACCTATTACATTTTGATCTGCAAGGAGAAAAAAACAGAACTCTTATTAACCAATAATAATTAAATCATGTAAATGTGCCTTAACTTGGATGTCATGGTAGGAGCAGATTAAACTGGTGTAATAATGTTGGTTTTGTCCTATCATAAGTCAGAGATGTTTTCAGTTAAT